GAAGGATGTGCAGCTATGACATACAACTATCCACTGGGGCTTTGGGGGAAAAATAAATAAATAAATAAATAAATAAATAAATAAATAAAAAAGAGGGGACAGCCTGGTGGCATAGTGGTTAACTACGCATGCTCTGGTTTGGTGGCACAGGATTCATGGGTTCGGATCCCGGGCATGGACATACGCAACGCTCATCAAGCCATGCTGTGGCAGCATCCCACATACAAAATAGAGAAAGATGGGCACAGATGTTAGTCACGGCCAATCTTCCTCACCAAAAAAAAAAAGAAAATAAGTGTTGGCAAGGATGTGGAGTAACTGGAACTCTTCTAAATTGCTGATGGGAATGTAATATGGTATGGCCTCTGTGTAAAATGGTTTAGTAATCCTCAACAAGCCAAATATAAAACGACCATACAACCCAACAATTCTATTTCTAGTTATGTACCCCAAAGAGTTGAAAGCAAGTATTCAAACATTTGCACATAAATGTTCATAGCAGCAGTATTTATTCACAATTGCCAAAGGTGAAAAAAAAAGTCCATCAAAGGATAACTGGATAAACAAAATGTGAGAGTCGTGAAATTGAATATCATTCAGCCATAAAAAGGAATGAAGGATACATACTCCAACATGGATGAACCTTAAAACATCGTGCTAAGTGAAAGAAGCCAGGCACAAAAAGCTCACATTTTGTATGATTCCATTCATAGGATATACACAGAATAGGTAAATCCAGAGACGGAAAGCAGATTAGTGGTTGCAGGGATTGGGAGTGGTGTCAAGAGGGACTGACTGCTTAATGGGTACAGGGTTTCCTTTTGAGGTGACAGAAATATTTTGGAACTAAAATGAGCTGATGGTTGCATAACACTGTGAATGTACTCAATACCAATGAATTGTACTCACTAAAATGGTGAATTTATGCGTATTTTACCTCAAAATAAAAAGCATATGGCACATGTGTATATCTAAATATGAAGGGACCATTATAAAATGGTGAAACAAAACAAAAAGATGGACCACAAAGAGTTTGGCTGTGTTAGGAGTTTGGCAATGATAAGGGTCTGGTGCCAAAACTGTAGGCAATTTACGAAACATAATACTCTGGAAAACTAGGCTGACGGTAAACAAAAAAGACGACAATCAGAAAAACAAGATAGGAGGGTATTGTAAAAAGAGCTACCTACAAGTAATGAAATTTTCAAATAAGCCAGACAGATCTTTCTGAATGAACAAAAAAAGGTTGAGATCAATGGAAATTTAAAGGTATAGGGGAGTTGAAGGTTCCTGAGGAAACGCAGAAACCAAATGGCGTCAGCCTTCTCAGAAAGAATATGTCTTTAAAAGTTTGCAAAGTGACATGTCCCAAGGTACAGCCCCTTTCCCAGGCTCTTCATAAAACCTATCTGCTTGTGAACTCACCCCGCAGAACTCCTCTCGCTCCCGTCCTCATCTCTTCTGTGCCTTCCAATCCAGGATTGACATCACGTTTGCATGATCTGTACCCTGCTCAAGGGAAAAGTACATAAAGAGGACCTCACAAGACATGGAAAACATATCCTTGAATCAGGAACCAACACTTTAGCCTTCAGGGTGTCTGAAGATGCTCAAGTCTAACTTTACAAGCAGCAAAGTGATCAAGCAAAATTTCAAATAAATGCAATAAAACTATTTAAAAGGAACAAAAATCCGGGGCCAGCCCAGTGGTGTAGCGGTTAAGTTTGCGTGTTCCGCTTTGGCGGCCTGGAGTTCGCTTCAGAGCCTGGGCACAAACCTATGCACTACTCATCATGCTGTGCTGAAGTGGTATCCCATATAGAAGAGCTACCACTCTACAACTATGATACACAACTATGTACTGGGGCTTTAGGGAGAAAAAAGAAAAAAAAAAGAGGAAGATTGGCAACAGATGTTAGCACAGGGCCAATCTGCCTCAAAAAAAAAATTTTAATTAAATTAAAAAATAAAAGGAACAAAAACTAAAGCAAATTCCCTCTCTGTGCCCTCAAGTGACCGGAGGTGTCAAAGACCTGAAAACCATGGCCAACCCCACACACATTTAAAGTCTTAAGGTTTTTAGTCCCTCAAGGAAATACAGTCGTTTATTTAAACAGATCTTCATTTTCATGGGGAATCTTCTAGAAGTAAGGCCCATGAGGCCAGGGCTATGTCTGTCTTGTTCACCACAGTATTCCCATTTGACAGCAAAGGTACTTAAGAAACATTCATTTCATAGAGGGCTCAGTGAAGAAACGATGGCAGCCTTACCTAGTGTCATGAGATTCTGGTAATTCTCCAACATCACGTCTCTGTAGAGATCTCTCTGCGGTTGATCCAACAAAGTCCACTCCTCCTGGGTAAAGGCCACAGCCACATCCTCGAAGGTCACTAAGTGCTAAACCATCAAACACATGCTGGCTTCAGCTAAGTACCATCTTCTTTGATGTTCTCAGAACGAGGGACTGAAGAAGGTAGACCAGAAGCCTACAGTACTCCTGGGCCTAGACCTGTCTCCTCTTTAGCTAGATAGACAATGCCTGGTGATCCATCCAGGCAATCCTGACTGGATCGCATCCAGTCACAAGGATTTATCTTATCATAACTCTACTGTGGGCTCTTCTTGTTTTATTCCTCCTCTATTTATAGGCGGCAGTTAGCAATGAACATTATGCAGCACTCAGTAAAATCTATTAACAAATGAATTATTTCCACAGTGACACACAAATTGTGAGATTAGATATCTCACATATCCTTCATAACCTTCCTGAAGATCTGTCACAACACTCAACAAAACAATAAGCCACAAAGCATGATTGAGAATCAGAAAAAATTAATAAATATTGAGAAAAAAGAATCATATCCAGTGTAATCTCTGTATATTCAGAGACGGCACGGGTCCTGGAAAAGTTCACCTGGAACTCATTTCCTAAGCAGAGCCATTAATTGCTTTAAGAAGCTTGGGGACATCAAAAGGAGACACCTGATGGAAACAAGCATGACGTTTTGAAGAAAGATCAACTTTCCACTTGCCTGAGAAGAATCCATCAGTAACCCAGCCAGCATCCTTGTCTCGATTTGCCTCTTATGAAGACGGAAAGGGTCTCAAAAAAGATGACCTCAGAGAGAAGGAGAATGGCATGAACTTCAAAGGCAATCCAATTCCAACAATCACGTGCCTATAAGCTGTTCCACCCCATGCAGAGAACATGCCAAAAACACACAACTTCCGTAATATGACGAAGTGCCCTGAGTTACCCGGAGCAAGAAAGTGGTTTTCCAGATTTTGCTACCTATGAGAAACAGGTTAAAAATTCCATCTGAGAGTTACACAAATTAAAGTGCAGAGAATTAGAGCTGTCTGACAGAGACAATAAAATTCATCAACATTTTATCCCCCAAAAAGCACACACACACATTCTTGCAGGCCAAATCCCAGGGACCTGAAATACGCACTCTGGCCACTTCAATCCCTCTTATCAGGCCCACTGCACAATTGCTCAGCACCTGAGCACCGCATCTGCCATTTGTGAAGGAACTACACGAAGTAAACGATTTGAAAAGAAGCATCAACAAGGACTCACCATACATTTGAGTCAGATCCTGTGAATCTGAAAATGAGAGTTCCCAGAAGGTTCCAACTTGCTCAGAAGATCACTTCAGAGAAGCTTCTGAGTTTAAATTAAGAGGTTGATCTCGATTTCTCTTCGTATACTAGAGTGTCTGGGTAACTGGTTCGCAACATCAATCATCAAGCAACAGACAATTTTCCTTAGTCGTCAATCATCAATAGTCACCCATTTCTCTACAGATAAAACATGTGACAGCCATTAAAAACTGTCCAATACTACTCCACGCAAATGTTAATAATAATTGCCATTTACTAAGCATCCATTAGAAGTTCTACATATATAAACTCCTTTAGTTGTCCTAACTCTCCAAATTGGGTATTAATACTGTTATTTAATTACTGAGAAAACTAAAGTTTAGACAGGATTGGTAACTGGCCCAACATTACCAGTTAGGAAACATGAACCAGGACCAGGACTAGACACAGGTTAGTGTGTCAAGAGCCTGATATCCTCTGGTTGCTGTTATTCCTGACATGACCAGAATTCAGTCTGGACCCTCTGCTAGGCATAATGAAGAGGATAAATACAAAAGGTTTTATGAAACCAGAAGTCTCCCTGGGTACTCCCTGCTAGAGCAGGGAGTTGGACTTGGCACCTTTGCCTCCCTCATCTCTTATTCCTTTACTCAATCAGCAAACATTTAATAAGGGCCTTCCTGGGCCGGCCCCGTGGCTTAGCGGTTAAGTGCGCGTACTCCGCTACTGGCAGCCCGGGTTTGGATCCCAGGCACACACCGATGCACCACTTCTCCGGCCATGCTGAGGCCACGTCCCACATACAGCAACTAGAAGGATGTGCAGCTATGACATACAACTATCTACTGGGGCTTTGGGGGAAAAAAAAAAAGTTCTAATAAGGGCCTTCCTTATGCCAGGTCAGGTACTAGGCACTAAGGAGGGCATAGTTCTTAGGGATCTCATGGTTCAATCAGGCAATGCAGGTAATAAACAAATAATTACCAGATGGTGATGAGCAGCACAGTTAAAAAAAGAATCAATCTCATTAAAGTATGAGGAGTACCACACATACACAAATATATTCCTGATACAAAGACAAGACTGGTTAGGGGCAAGATAAAGACAGAATAGAGAAATAACCACTTCAGAGGACTGTGATAATTGATACCTTACTTACTTAAATCATTAATGTTCCAATTTTGACCCAAAGACATTCAAACTTGAAAATGATTATTTTAGAAAAAACTCAAAATACATTTCTAATGCTGGCCACTCCAATAGGCTCTGAATCATGTCACTGTTTTCTTCTATGTTGAAATTGAAGCCTTTCCATGTTTTCTCACGGTTAACTACAAAGACTATTACATAAATATATTTTTCATTTTTTCACCTTTTTGTATTACTGATCAGTTCTACTTGCTTCCATTATGTATTGGTTTTACTTTTATTCATCCTTTCAGTATATTTTATTCTACTTCTGTATTTCTTGCTCAACCTTATGAAGTAGAATGCTTAGTTCCATTTCTTGAATTTTTTTATTGAATTACAGCATATATACAACGAAAGGAAGAAATCATGAATAAAAATCTCAACGAACTATCAAGAAATGAACAGCCTCAGGTAACCACCATTCAGATAAAGAAATAGAACATTTCCATATCCAGCATATTCCTTGTCTCTTTTCCAAATCACTAATTCCATGCCTCCCAATCTCAACCACTATCCTGACATCGAACACTCTAGGCTATTCTGCCTATTTTTGAAACTTAAAGAAACAGTATCAAACAGCATGCATTCTTTTGTCTGTCTTCTGTGTCATAATTCACTCAACATTATATTTGTGCGGTTCATCCAAGCTGCTGCCTCTCTCTACCTGTGGTTTGGACCTTCTCTTTGCTGAAGAGTATGCCATAGAAAACAAATGCCACAACTCATCCATTCTTCTCTTGTCCACTGGGTTATTTCCATTTTAGGGATACTTCCAATAATGATGCTATAGCTTTTATGTTTAATTGTTACACATGTGCATGCATTACTGGTGTGTGATCAACAGGTTATTTGATACTTTTTAAAAATGTGTTTCCACTAGCAGTGTATGCACATCTTAACCAACACATGGCACTGTCATTCTTTTTTAGTTTAACTTTTAACCATTCAGTGTGTAGTACTACCATACTGTGCTTTTAATCTGCATTTCCCTGGTTGCTAACGATATCAAGTGCCTTTTCATATATTTGTTATCCATTTGTATATGTACTTTCTTTATTGAAGAGCCTATCCAAACCTCTTGGTCATTCTTCTATTGAGTTTTCATTTTGGATATTAATCTGTACTAGTTATTATGTATATAACTCTTGGTTGTTACATGTGAGGCAATTAACCAAGTATTAAAGGGCAAATACCACGGCTGCAACTTACTTCAATCTCCTTACTCTCCAAGTTTATCATATACCCATGGAGAGAGATGTACAGATACAGGAGACATGCAAAATATTAACAAATGGTCAATGGACAACAAGGTAACATCTGAATAATATATCAAACTCCAATAACGGATGCCCCCAGCCAGAGCATTTCCGTCCAGTGCTCACCGGAAGGCACCGATCGCCAAGTCGGTGAGACGAAGAGGACGCTGGGGTCGTTTTCCAGAACAGCGTAAATGCTTTTCCTTTTGGAGAAACGACAAAGGCTGCTTTGGCAGCTTTCGAAGACAGGCGCACAGCGGCTGGAGGAAAGGCCCTGCCTCCACCGGGGACCCTAAGCCACGGCCCCGACTCGCGCGGGCGGAGAGGGCAGAGGCTCTCGGAGGAACCGCGGCGCCCGCAGGAAGCCTCGGGCGCGGGGTAGGGGCCGGGAGAAGGCGCCGCGACTCCTGGAGGCCGGAGAGGCCGGGACTGAGCGCAAGCGAGGACTCCCACAAAGGAGAAAACCTAGAGGAGCGCAAACTGAGACGCACACCCGCCACCACTTCCGCTTCCGGTTTCCGCACCGCGCTCAGCGTAAGGGGCGGAGCCTCAGGAGCTGCCGGATCAGGAAGACGTGAGGCGGAAATAGGGGCGGAGGGGAGCAGTGGCTGCTACTTCCACACGAGGAGGGTTGCGGTTGGACCTGGATCCAGAGCAGGCTCTTCAAGCCGACCAGGTCCGGAAGGCAACGCCCGGCTGGAGGACCGAGCGGAGCTCAGGGAACGGAGTTAGAAGCAGGACGGATGCGGAGGGCGGGGTTCGCGTCGTGGCCTGTTCCCAGGAGGGCGTGGTTCCGGCGGAGTCAGATCCAAGGCTTTGTGTACTGGCAGCAGGAAGCTCATCAAATGCTTTTCTACAGGCCTTTCTCCCTGTTTCTTCAGCAGATGCAACGATGTGCACGTTTACAAAGATAAGCCTGCTAGTCCGTAAAATGGTCTGTCCCCCTAATTCATACAGTCCGCTCTTTAGACCTTTAGTTTTGTTAGAGATATAATTTTCGTAGCATACAACTAACCCATTTAAAGTGTACCATTTAGTGGCCTTTAGTATATTCATAGAGTTGGGCATCCATCACCACAATCAATTTTAGTACATTTTCATAATCACGAAAAGAAACCCAGTACCCCCTTAGCCATAATCCCCCACCCCACCCCCCAGCCCAAGGCAACAACTAATCTACTTTTTGTCTCTGGATTTGCCTCTTCTTGACAGTTCATATAAATGGCATCATACGATATGTGGTCTTTTTGTCTGGCTTCTTTCACTTGCATAATATTTTCAAAGTTCCTTTGTGTGGTGGCATGTGTCATACTTAATTTCTTTTATTACTGAATAATATGCCATTATATGAATATATCACAATTTATCCATTCATTGGTTGATGGACATTGGCTTGTTTCCACTTTGTTGGCTATTATAAATAATACAGGGTACCTTTTAAGGAGTGATCAGAGGAAAGTACACATTCCCAAATACTTCTATCAATAAAAATGAAAGAATAATGAAAACTAAAATCCAAACTCAACAAAGCAAAAATAGAATATCAATGAAAAAATATGAAAAAGTTAAATAGGAACTTACACTACAAAAGAGTATCAAATCCAGATGAGTTGGTTTTGTTTGTTTGTTTGTAACAGCGTTGTCAAGATATAATTCACATACCATACACTTCACCCATTTAAAGTATGCATGTGGTAGTTCTTAAATTTGCAGAGTTGTGAGACTATCGCCACAAGCAGTTTTAGAACAATTTATTTATTGTCTCTATGGATGTGTCTATTCTGACCATTTCAAACAAGTTAAAAATACTATGTGGTCTTTTGAGACTAGTTTCTTTCATATAGCATAAAGTGTTTGAGGTTCATCTATGTTGTAGCATGAATCATTATTTTATTCCTATTATTTTTATCTTTTTTTTAATTAATTAATTTATTTATTTTCCCCCCAAAGCCCCAGTAGATAGTTGTATGTCATAGCTGCATATCCTTCTAGTTGCTGTATGTGGGATGCGGCCTCAGCATGGCCGGAGAAGCAGTGTGTCGGTGCATGCCCGGGATCGGAACCCGGGCTGCCAGTAGCAGAGCACGCACACTTAACTGCTAAGCCACGGGGCTGGCCCTATTTTATTCCTTTTAATTGGTAAATAATATTCCTAAGATGGGCATGGATGTTGGCCCAGGGCCAGCCTCCCTCAGCAAAAAAAAAAAAAAAAGAGGAGGATTGGCAGATGTTAGCTCAGGGCCAATCTTCCTCACAAAATAATAATAATAATAATAATAATATTCCTATCAGTTGACAAACATTTGGGTTGTTTGCACTTTTTGGCCATCGTGAATAATCCTATAAAGTATTCATGTACACATTTTTGTGGACATTCTCATATCTCTTGGGTATATATCTAGGAGTGGAATTACTGGGTCATATTATAACACTGTGTTTAACCTTTAGAGGAATAGCCAGACTGTTTTCCAAAATGGCTGCACCATTTTACAATCTCACCAGCAGTGTATGAGAGTTCCAAATTCTCCCCTCCTTGTCAACACTTATTAGAGTCTTTTTCAAAAAAATATTATTATAGCCATCCTAGTTGGTGTGAAGTATTTGATTGTAGTTTTGATTTTAATTTTCCCCCAATGACTAAAGGTGTTGAGCATTTTTTCATGTGCTCATTGGCAATTTGTGTATCTTATTTGGAGAAATATCTATCTAGATGCTTTGACTATGTTTTAATTGTGTTATTTATCATTTTATTATTTAATTCTAAGAGTTCTTTATACATTGTAGATGCCAGACCCTTATCAGATATAGAATTTACAAATATTTTCTCACATTTGAAATGTTGTCTTTTCACTTCTTTGTGTGTCCTCTGAAGCACAAAATTTTTCATTTTTTTATTTTTTATTTTTTTTGGTGAGCTGAATTGGCCCTGAGCTAATACCTGTTGCCAATCTTCTTCTTTTCTCTTGAGCAAGAGTGGCGCTGAGCTAACATCTGTGCCCATCTTCCTCTATTTTGTATGTGGGACGCTGCCACAGCATGGCTTGATGAGTGGTGTAGGTCCACACCTGGGATCCAAACCTGTGAACCTGGGCTGAGGAAGTGGAGTGCGCTGAATTCAACCACTGTACCACTGGGCCTGCCCTGCAAATTTTTAAATTTTGATGAAGTCCTACTTATCCTTTTTTTCTTTGGTTACTTATGCTTTTGGTGTCATATTTAAGAAACCATTGGGGCCGGCCCAGTGGTGTAGTGGTTAAGTTCGTGCGCTCTGCTTTGGTGACCCAGGGTTCACTGGTTCTGATCCTGGGTGTGGGCCTATGCACCATTCATCAAGCCACGCTGAGGTGGCGTCCCACATACAGCAACTAGAAGGATGTACAACTATAACATACAACTATCTACTGGGGCTTTGAGGAGACAAAAGGAAAAAAAGGAGGAAGATTGGCAACAGATGTTAGCTCAGGGCCAATCTTCCTCAAAAAAAAAAGAAAGAAAGAAAGAAAAGTTACTTTAAAAAAAAAAAAGAGGGCTGGCCCCGTGGCTTAGCGGTTGAGTGCGTGGCACTCCGCTGCTGGCGGCCCGGGTTCAGGTCCCGGGCGCGCACCGACGCACTGCTTCTCCGGCCATGCTGAGGCCGCGTCCCACATACAGCAACTAGAAAGATGTGCAACTATGACATACAACTATCTACTGGGGCTTTGGGGGGAAAAAAATAAATAAATAAAAATTAAAAAAAAAAAAGAAAAACCATTGCCAAATCCAAGATCACTGAAAATTTACCATTATGTTTTCTTCAGAGAGTTTTCTACTTTTAGTGCTTACATTTAGTTCTTTGATCCACTTTGAGTTAATTTTTGTATGTCGTGAGAGGTAGGCATCCATCTTCATTCTTTTGCATGTGGATATACAGTTGTGCCAGCACCATTTGTTGAAAAGACTGTTTATTCCCCCATTGAATGGTTTTGACACCGTTGTCAAACATCAGTGGACCATAAATATGAGCCCAGAAGTTTTAGATAGGGGAATTATACCAAAACTTCAAAGTTCAGATATTCCCCGTTCTCCATAAGTAAGAGAAATGCGAATGAAGAAAAACTTCCTAACTCCTTTTATGAAGCAAGTGTAACCTTCATATAAAACATGACAGAGTACAAAAAATGGAAAATTACAGAGCCACATCACTTATGAATATTGATTAAAACGAGCTATGTTAAATATTAGCAAATATAATATGAAAATACATTAAGAAAATAATAAAACTTGACCAAGTGGAATTTACTCTAGGAATGCAAGGTTGATTCAGTTATTAGGAAATCCATTAAATAATGCATCAGATCAGTACATCTAAGAAGACAAATCATATAATTATCTCCATAGATGCTGATAAAGCCTTTGACAAAATTCAACACTCATTCTTGATATAAGCACTCAAAAAAAATTGGTGAATACTTTCTTAAGATGATTGCCTATATCTATACCTCTGTGTGTGTGTGTATACATGTATGTGTGTATGTGATCTGTGTCTGTGTGTGTACATTGGCAATAGCTAATGCAATTAGATAAATTAATTAGAAATATAAGAATTGCAAATGAAGTAAAACTATCTCTTTTTACAGATGATCTGATGCTATAGATGGAAAGCCCTAGAGAATCAATGATAAAATTATTCAAACAATAAAAGGGTATGGAATTGTCTTCTAGAAATCAATACCCTTCATCTACCCAACCAATAACCAGTAAGGTGATATAAATGTAGAGAAAACCTCATTTATAGTAGCAAGAAAAAGATACTTTGAATTAAACTCAACAAGAAATTTATAAAACCTACACGAGGAACTTTAAAACTCTTAAAAGACAGAAAATGAACAAATGGAAAAACATCCCTTGTTCTTCAATAAAATAACTTAACATCCTAAAGATATAAATTCTCCCCAGGTTAATTCAGAAATGTAACATAATCCCAATAAAAATGCCAATAAGCTTTTCTAAAAAATAGTAATTATTTTGATGAATTTGCATTCAGCACCTTGTGTTTTGATAAAAACACTTTGTATATATGTGCAATGCTTGGAATTGCTAGATTGACAGATTGAAATCTAACTTCTGATTTATGTGTGTTTGCAAAGATAACTAGAAAGTCTGCATAAATTCCTGGTAATTTAATGGAATAAGTGTGCCAGAATTTTCATATAAATTTGTGTCTCCAGACCAGTGTGCCATCATAATGAGGATGTCCATAAAATAATCTCATCTTTTTTTTAAGGCATTAATTTCCTTTATTTTGCTGTTAATCCAAATAGTCATTCAACATTTTTTTCCAGTTTTATTGAGATATAATTAACATATAACATTGTTTTAGTTTAAGGTATACAACCTAATGGTTTGATATATGTATGTATATATTACAAAATGATCACCACAATAAGTTTAGTTTACATCCATCATCTCATATCGTTACAAAAATGTTTTTTCTTATGAGGAAAACTTTTAAGGTCTACTCTCTTAGCAACTTTCAAATATACAATACAATATTGTTAACTGTAGCCACCATGTTGTACATTACATCCCCAGAACTTATTTATCTTATAACTGAAAGTTTGTACCTTATGACCCCCTTCACCCAACGACCTTTTCTTATGGAGTTTGTCAAATTGATACTAACATTTATATGGAAGAACAAACATCTAATGGTACCCGAGAAAACATTGAAAAACAAAAGTGATAATACCCTACAGACATTAAAACATATTATAAACCTGTTGTAATTAAAACTGTGGTATTGGCACATGAACAGGAAACAGACAAATGGAATAAAATGGAGCATCTAGAAATAGACCCAAGAACATATGGAAATTGAGTTTATAAAGTTGGTGTTTCCGATCACTGGGGCAAAAACAAGATTTTTAATGAAAAGTGCTGAGACAACTAGTCAGCCATCTGTGAAAAGATAAAATTATATCTATACCTCACACCACTTACAAAAATAAACTCCAGGGGCCAGCCTGGTGGCGCAAGCAGTTAAGTGCGCACGCTCCGCTGTGGCTGCCCGGAGTTCGCAGGTTCGGATCCTGGGTGCGCACCCACGCACCACTTGTCAAGCCATGCGGTGGCGGCGTCCCATATAAAGTAGACGAACATGGGCATGGATGCTAGCCCAGGGCCAGTCTTCCTCAGCAAAAAGAGGAGAATTGGCTTGGATGTTAGCTCAGGGCTGATCTTCCTCACAAAAAAAACAAAACAAAACAAAACAAAAATAAACTCCAAATGGATCAAGGATCTAAATGTGTGTGGGAGGGGGGAGCTGTGAGTGACCATATATGTATGTTGGGTATTAAGTGATTTCTGGACTGATTAAGGAAAAAGATATGACCATGAGGTGGCAGTGGTGCACAAAAGCATTATTTGGACAGCACTTGGACAGGTTTGCATGTGGGGAAAGTCTCTCACAGTATGAGCAAATACAGAAGCTATGGCATGGAGGCCACTACTCAGAAGGAAGGTAGGTGAACTCCTACTCCAGGAGAAGAAGGCAATGGCAGAGGGGGCTTATGTGTCTAGCAGCCTCCGGGGAGGCTCTGGGTCAGAAAGCTGATGGGCAGCAGCAGCTGGGTCTTTATAGCCCCAAGATTTATCTTATCTATGGCTAGCAGATTTTGGACATAATTTTGTGGGGTTACAAAAAGCAGGCAGGCTCTAAAAATCTCCCTGCTTGGGCTATGTTTAAGACACTTGAATGTGTAAAATTTTGAATTTGGCACTGGCTGGCTACTGTGAATAATGCTGCTATGAACATTGGTGTGAAAATATCTGAGTCTCTGCCTTCGGTTCTTTTCGATACATACCCAGAATTGAAATTGCTGGATCATATGGTAATTCTCTGTTTAATTATTGAGAAACCTCCATACTGTTTTCCACGGCAGTAGCACCATTTCATATTCTAATTTCATTTGCTTAATATTGTATATTTGGCAATATACAAGAGGTCCAATTTCTCCACATCCTCACCAGCATGTGTTATTTTCTGTTTTTTGGATAATAGCCATCCTAATAGGTGTAAAGTGATATCTCATTGTGGTTTTGACTTGCATTTCCCCAGGGATTAGTGATGTTGAACATCCTTTCATGTGCTTATTGGCCATCTGAATATGTTCTTTGGAGAAACATCTATTCAAGTCCTTTGCACATTTTTGAATTGGGTTGTTTTTGTTGTTGTTGACTTGTAGAAGTTCTTTATAGATTCTGGATAGTAATGCCTCGTCAGATATATGATTTGCAAATATTTCTCCCATTTTGTGGGTTGTCTTTTCACTGTCTTGTTATTGTCCTTTA